GGCATCCGGTTAATCAGATTAGTTCATGTGAAGCAGAAGCTCAAGCGAACCCTATCAGAAACAATAAGGAATGCACTGGTAACAGCAAATGTTCCAAAAGGCTATACTGCAGTTTATGTTGGAGAAGGCAACAGGAAGTGATTTCTTATTCTTATGTCTTTCTTGAACCATCCTCTGTTTCGAGACCTGTTAAATCGGGCTGAGGAAGAATTCGGATTCACAATTCCATGCAGTGAAGAGTATTTTGTTAGTATTACTACAATCTTAAATTGTTCATGGATGAAGCAGTAGTGCCACAAGGCTGCAGCAACCTATGTAACATAATATGAGAACTGAGACAATCAATTCAAGGAAGGCAGTGTATTCAATTTGTTCTCTGGAACATGCAAATTCAGTCCCACTTAATCACTAGTAATCAGGACTGCTTGTAGTTTTACCCTAGTTTGCAGAAGGCTTTAAAAGCGCCACTGTGAAGTTGAAATAAATAAAGGTTCATGACTCCAGTGCCAGTGGATAAAAGGGAATAAAGGTACAGCCTGGGTGACAAGCATGTACTATATGGCGTGTTTTAATTGATTCTGATTTTTTTTTTCCTTTTTTCACATTCATAGAATAATTTCCTGATTTCAATGCGCGCCATGTGTATATAATATATATATATATATATATTCAAGAGAACAGCTGGATGAAAAAGAAAATTCTGGACTCTACAATAGTACGGATACTGATATATATCATGAGTTGGTGCTGATCACTAAAATCTTTTTAAGGGATGATAAGTTGAATGGAAACATCCAACTAGCTAAACCCAAAATATTATATTTTCGCTATGAATTGCAGCCATAAATGCCCCAGAAGTGCCATTTGCACCATGGCTTTGAGTTTGAAAAAGACTTTTTTTATTCTGTAATACTTGTCTAGCTGCAAGACTCTGCATATTGCAATGGGTCGTTTCTACTATTGAATCGGCACACCATTTATTACAACAAATCTCAGAGCAACTTTCAATTTTCAAAACAAAAAAGGGTGACTGGTAAAAAATTACTAGCTCAAACCTGGTATTTCACTAGTTTTTCTTTTGTATAGAAAAATGGCTTCTCATTGATTAGATCTTTCTCAGAGATTTCCAACTTTTGGATAAAATTAATTGCTGCTCTTTTACGAGTTACAGTCCAAGTGGCCCCTTTACGTGCCAGACAATTACAAGTACGATGATGGCAATGACACTTTTGTCTTTTATGGAACAATCTTCAATGTCAGAACTCTGAGACTCCGTGCTTGTCCGATGTAACAGATGAGAAAAAGACCACCGTGCCACATCAAGGCATCCAAATGGGTGCCAGTGTAATTTGCAGACGCAAATGGCATCTCCACTAGAAACTGGAAATTCGATCGTATACAAATCCACCCGTAATTGATTAAATTCGTGCTTGGTCTCAGTGATTGTCCCACACCTGAGGCGTAGGATCAATGCTCACTATATTAATTAAGTGTATACTCACTCTGTCCATATGTATAGTGTTTTGGTTTAGCTGTACAAAAAATTTAGGAAACTTTAATTTAAAAATTTTTGATTGGTTAGTTATAGTTAAAGGGTAATAAGAAAAAAAATTTTTTTTTTTAATTTTCAAACAGAGAAAATTTTCGGTATGTGGTATAAACAAAGAAATAAACAAAGAAGTTAATAAGGCATCTTTAGTACTTACTCATTTTCGTACAAAAATTATAATTGATCATTAATTAATTATGATGTAATAATTGATTATTTAATTAATTATATAAATGTAATATTGAATTATTATAATATAAAATCACGCAATGAAAGATAGCAATTATATATACTACTATTCCCTTTCCCAACTTTTTAGTGAGAAAGGAAATAAAGCAATTAAAAAGCATGGAAATAAATATTTATTTGTTTATTGTTACCTTGCCTTGTTAATTGTTGTGCTGATATTTATGGAAAATATTTTTAGATTAATTGAGCATTAAATATCTACTTCCTTTTACCTTTTAAATCTCATCCCATCTTAGGTCAGTTAATATTACCCTAATTCAAGAAGGCACAAAGAATTGAATATTTGCATGGGTTTCCTAGAAAAATAAACAATCCCTTAAGACATTACTTAATTAAACCGATAATAGTGTCATCAAAATCTCATTAGTTTTTTTAAACAGTAATTTTTTTATCAGAGACCGAACACAGTTTTTTTTAATTATTTTTTGAAATATTGATGTATTCATGATTTTACATAAATCGTCAATACAAAAGCTTAGGGTACAGTTTAAAGATAGAAACTATCAAAATTATTGCTCCCATATAAAAACAATATTAACATATTTTTTATACTCAAGAGGAAATCCAAACAGGGAGCAAAATTTTAGATCCTGCAAGCTCATTTTCATATCTCAGAACTATACTACAATGGAAGATCAAACTACTAAAAAAAAAATCAAAATCCAGCGTACGTATAGCTTAATTATTAGCTCATTGACTTACGCATTGTTTATTCGAGAATTGAGATTGATGAATTCATCTTCAGCGCAAGGAGCCATCAGACCACCCACTGGACGATCAAATCCGAACTCTTCCTGGGCCTGGCTCAACAGGGTTTGGAATAAAGGAGCTTCAAGTAGGACGTTGGGACCACGAACCTCTTGTTATTCTCTTCAGCTCCGACATGCACAGCGAAACGGCCCTTCGGGACGACGTTCACTGCACTCTATGTTTTGTAGGAGCACTGGTGCTTAGAATGTGACCGTCTTTGGATAATTTGCTTTGCGGGAAGCATCATTTCAGGCAAATGAATCCCATTCTCCTCCACTGATTAGGAATATTGCAAAGTAAAAAAAAGAAAACAAAAACAAAGTTTTTCTTTCTTTCAAGTAAGGCAGTTTTTTTTTGGTTTTTACCTTTCTGGACTTGGCCTTTAGGTATATATATATATATATATATAGGGGAGACAAATATGAAATATCAAAGGGGAAGCCCAAAAATTAATGCAATGATAATTTTGCATGCATGAAAAAATCAACATGTACTTTGTCTTTGCGCTTGGAAGTTGTATAATATTACAACACCGGCAAAAGGGACCCACAAAATAGTTGCTACTTTAGAAAGCCCCGTCCACTGGTTTTCACGTCCAAAAATGGATTTCTCTGGTGCTTTTATGCTCCTTATGTCGGTAACGCAATTAAACGGTTAGTTTTCTGTAGATCCCAGAATTCATGATGCATCAAGATTCATGGGTTTTCTCTTTTCTCTTTCGTATAATGATATTGATAGCTTGGAAAGTTTGATAATGGCCTTGAACTTGGCCTCTTCTTGTTCTTTGAACTGCGGCCCACACCTATTGCACGCATGCTTAAGGGTTTGAAGCAGCCTTTTTTCTCTCTCTTTTAAATGTTTTCCAATTCTCTAATAATATTGATACATTTAAAAGAGGCAACCAAAGCGCGTAATAGTGAAATTGGTGCCCAATATATGGCGGATGGTTGAGTCGGTCAATCAGTTTGGTGCACGTATCAGGAACTAAAGTAAGAGTTTTAAATTTCAAATCGAATATAATAGAAGGGTTAATAGGGTATAAAAAAGTTTACATCATTTTTTTTTTGAAAAGTATCTTTTGTAGAACAAAATCGTAAAGTTAGAGGGCAGAGCGAACAATATCTCGTAAGAGTGTGAACTATGACAGGTAGGCTGATCTAAGACGCTGGATGAGTAGATGTCCGGGTCTCGTAGTCGTGCAGGTTCAGAGCTTAAGTCTCGACTCGTGATAAGTAGTATTAGAGCCAGTCTTAAACCGTTCAACCCACGCCAAGCGCCTCGAGGGATGTAGGCAGGGTGGTCAACCTCCGTGACCAGAGCGTCACGAGATTAGGTGGAAGAGAATGTCACAAACCTAAAGAAAAGTCATAAATCTCATATTGAACATAATAAGAGGGTCATTAGGGTATAAAAGAATTCACACCACCTCTTCCTTGAAATGTGCCTTTTGTAAGATAAAACCTTAGGTCAGGGGCAGAGAGGATAATACCTCACAAGGGAGTGAACCATGACAGGTAAGTTGATCTGAGACGTCGGATGAGTAAATGTCCGGATTCCGGAGCCGCGTAAATTCGGAGCTTAAGTTTCGACCCGTGACACATGTATATTCTTATGAATTGTATATTATCTCAGAAAAATGGCATTTGTCCGCACCTGCTGCAAGCCACTGCAAATGGGCCTCTGGCGCAATCTATATACTTTTATCTGTTGTTCTTAAACCAATATATGTCTCTTATCTCACTTTGCTGATAAAAAATCAATAAGGGTTTAAGACATTGTAAGACCAACATAAGTCTTACTCCAAAAATGATTGTTAAAACCCACAGATGGAGGTAAACCACAATTAAAAGGGATAAATGTTAATTGCTAATATTCAGTTTATATAATTAGGTTGATGTAAAAGTTGTAGATACCGCCGCTGCGCACTTGGCGATACCAGCAAGAACACATGAACTGTTTTTGTTTTTGTTGAGCATGTTACTCTGGATTTTCCAATGTACGGTCCTCTGTTTTGTCAAACATAATGGTTTATAACCTGCTTTGGGAGCGAGCTTTTTTGGACAAGAAGCAAGTGGATGTATTGCACCAAGGCAGTAGCAATTCGTACATGAATTATAGATATAACAGACTAACTGCGAGCTAGAGAAAGCCATGGCAGCCAGTGAGCAAAGCCATGTGATTCTTTGATGCAGTGGATCCTCTCAGGAATCCCAGCTCCAATTTGGTAACAACAGGAATCCATTAATTTAGGTCTTTGTTGAATTTGAAATTTATGGCCCTTCAATATCTCCGCCTTCTCCAAACTCTATAAATACCAAACATTATCAGCTTTCCAGCTCCAGGCACCTGACAGAATCTACAAGCTCTACTACAAATTAGTTCAATCTCATCATATTCTCAGAATCCAATCTATAACTATTTTTTTTCCTTTCGTGAATTCGAATTACAGATTATGGGTTTTCATATACTATCCATGGTTTCCGGTGCCAAGCAAATTCTTAAGCTTCAATCTCTTGTTTCAAGAGAGAAAGCAGATGTTCCAAAAGGCCATATTGCAGTTTATGTTGGAGAGAAACAAACGAAACGATTTGTGGTTCCAATATCAGTTGTGAACCATCCTTCTTTCAAAGACTTGCTTAAGCGGGCAGAGGAAGAGTTTGGCTTTAATCATCCGACTGGTCGTCTAACAATTCCATGCAAAGAAGATGCCTTCATCGATCTCATTTCTCGATTGCATGCCTAATAATCACGATTCTGTTTTTAACTTTTTATTAATTTTTTTAATATATGTGAAGAAAACATTAGCTGTAGTATGTAAAATCATTTTAACTATAAGTTGGCAGCGCCAAATAAATTTTTCTCCAATGAAACCATAATTGAATTTCTTTTTTTTTTTTACCTTTTATCTAAATCCTCTATAATTTACAATATTGATTTTTTAACGTATTTTGTCTCATGACTTACCTTTTACAAAGCTATATTTGATCAATGCATAATTACTTTGTAATACTCTATCAGTTTTAGTTAAATTGTCATGCAAATGGACAAGTGAACATGAGTAAGTGTTACTACACAAATACTTGTAAAAGATGGCGGTCACCGCAACAAAATTTAAGGAAGAAAAAACAGTTAAATTAATATATAGTTTTGTCTATCTTTTAGGTTGATCAAAAAGTTGAAGACTGCCGCATAAAATGTGATAAGCATCATACCTTGTCATTTGGCAATACCAATAAGAACGCATTAATAAATATGTTTTTTTTTTTTTTTACACACAAAAAAATGGGGTCACTGAGCACGTTGGCTCTGGATTTTCCAAAGTACGGCCTTCTGTTTCTCAAACAAAATGGCTAACCTTCTTTTGGAGTGAGCTTGTTTGGACCAAAGGAGCCACTGGGTCTAAATTGCACCCATTGGTCCAGAGCAGTTTGATAGATGCATAAATGCATCGTAGATTGATAAAAGTTCAGTAATAATGAGAAAATGGTTGTCTAAAGCCATTTTTCTCCTGCTTAATCTCTAATTTCGGTTTGATCATTCATTTCCTTTTTTAATATTTTCAAGAAAAATAATTACATTGACCTGATTTAGTTTATTGATACGTTGTTTTACCTGAAAATTAATAAATCGTTTAAATGCTTTACATGGCTTGGTAATTGATGTATATTCAATGCATGAGTTTTTAATTTTTATTTGTTTAAGTTATACTATTCATATAATTAATTATTATATTATTAAATAATTAATTAATAAATTATAACTTTAAGTAAACAATCAAACCTATATATAATGGGATTTAAACTGAGGACCTTAAGATTCTAGGATCCCCCTTTTGCCACCAAACCAAGACCGTTTACATGCTTGAGCTTTTAATTTTGAGACAAAGTTATATTCAATTCAATTATAGATTTTGTTAACGAAAAATATGTCTTACGGATATTCTTGAAGTTTATTGAGTTACAATTTATAATAAAATTTATGAATTATTATATGCAATTCGATATTAATTAATAATTTGTAGATGAATCCTTTGAAGACTGATTAAATATGGTTCAACAGATAGATTAATACCAATGTTATCTGCACCAGTTTCGATTTTAAGAAAAATTGATACACCAAAGTGTATGTACCAGCCAAATTCGGAATTAAGAATCCCACAGATTATATTCTTACTATAAATAGCAAGTTGCTTTGCTCAGAACTTTCGCATAAAAAAGGCCGTCCTTGCTGCTTGGTGCATTACGTCAGTGATTCAACTTGATCGGTTAATTGGTCTAGACTCTAGAGCCAAGAATTCACCCTGGAACTTTCAACATTTCGAACCAGCTTAAATGCTACCTTTCTCTTTCTTGCTTGAGTTTCACAATATCCAAAACATTATCTTGCTTGCAACAAATGAAGAATTTCCAATGCACGTATAGCAGGCACAGATCGGAGAGATTTCAGGCAGTCAATCAGTACAAATGCACGTACATGTGCTTGTCAAATTATTGCCCTGAAAATTGGCAGCCTGCTGCAACCACTCTTTCTATCAATAGGGGTTCGTGACCCCAATTATTGATCTATCCTATAATCCATTACTGACAAGTATGCGTGAATTGGTATCAGCAGCATTAGTAAATAGTGACTGTAGACTAAAATTTTTCGAAAGTAGATCTATTGAAATTTATTTGGAGGTGAGACTCATCAAAATAAATCAATGAAAAAGACAGATGCTAGTATCTGCAATTTTGACCAATTTGAAGAAAAGTAACTCAACTCAGCACTAATGCTTTCAACACCAAATAGTTAGGATTAATATTTAGTGAGAATATTCTATCAAAAAAATATTTAGTTAGAATACTATTAGACCATATATCGAATGGTTGGAACTTGAATGGTAATTAGGTTGTGCAAGAGGATAAACATGAACATAGTTTCAAAGTTTGCAAAAAAAAAAAACTCACCACATACGAATACATATGCTACTGAGTTGCTTTTAGGCAACAACAAATTAAAAGCTTACCTCCTCCAAGGAGCTGCAAGTGGGTTTGCTTTTGCACCATAAATTTGGAAAAGCCATGTAGGGTTTTGGGGATATGGGTCTTGCTAGGAACTGGGAACCAGCTGACAACAAAATATGCTGTATATAAATACAAACACGACGCCAGCCTTCCAGCTTCAAGCTCTTTCTCTACACAATACCAAGTTCTTTCAGCTATTTTTACCTGCTTGAATCAAATTGTTCCTTTCTAACTTTTTTTGGGTCTCAAAAATGGGTTTCCGTTTGCCAGCCATGATCCACAGTTCCAGGCAAATTCTGAAACATCATTCTGGTTTCTGTAGGAAACCATCAGATGTGCCAAAAGGCCACGTTGCAGTTTATGTTGGAGAGGCACCGAGAAAACGTTTTGTAGTTCCAATTTCGTATTTGAACCATCCTTCATTTGCAGAATTGCTCAACCGAGCAGAGGAAGAGTTTGGTTTCAATCATCCGACGGGCGGCCCGACAATTCCGTGCAAAGAAGATGCTTTCGTCAATCTAACGTCTCAGTTGAATTCCTCATCATGATAGATGATGGATACAGAGCTGTTCTCCCAATTTCGACAAGATAGTTTCCATTTTCCTACAAGTCAGTATGAAATTCCACACAAGAATAGAGTAAGTGTAAGAGGAAGTGTAAACTTTAACACATTAACAAATGAAGTCCTTTTTCATGCTCTTGTTGGTGAAATTTCTACTTTAATTAGAGATTGAGAAACATGGTCTTGATATTTTTCAAAGAGAAATGCAGATACCTATGTTCATGAATTAGCAATGACATAAGGAAAAAGTCGTCCTGTTGCTCCATAAATTTGTTCAAATCAAGGAATCTTCTTTCCGCTGGTTGAGGATTGAACCAAACTCTATCCAAAACCTGGACTGTATATAAATTCTAGATTTTTCACTACACTCAAAAAAAATTTGATGGGGGAGGGGGCATAAAATATGTAATTGATTTTGAATCCAAAAATGTATCTTATATAAATGAATCCAGGATTGTAATGATCAGTTCATGGTTTCTCTCTTTACATAGAAACCTAAGTCCAAATTAACCGAGGTCGGTTCCGCAATTTGTCCTATTAGCGAAAATTGGACTACTTTAGGATGTGAAACGTATTGTTTGTCCTCATATAAAGGGCGGAAAATGTTCTGTTTCGAGATAATGACAAATCACATACTACTATGTTTTGCTTGAATATATTGCTAAAGTCTAGCTGCTCAACATTTTAAGTGTACGACCCTTTGATTCAAGCATTAAATATCTATAATTTTTTTATCCATATTGAAGCACTAAATTTTGGTACTGCTTTGGCAGTGCGCTTGTTGTAAGTTGTAACCTTTGGCTTCCATACTCCAAAGGAACATGCAAGTGGGTCTACGGCACCTTTGGCGGTATAGGTTGGTGATTGAGCATTGAACAAATAGAGAGAGAAAGAGAGAATTTTAATTCTTAGAGCTAATTGAGCAAAACCATGTGAATGTGACCTTTTTTTATGAAAACTCGTTAACTGCACCTGATTGTTAAAATTTGTTCCAAATGAAGTTCAGACATTTCTTCTGTTGCAATCATAAGCGGCTGCACTGCTCCTGATTCTTCAGAAACATGAGAACCATTAGCATTAAATGCAAGACAATCATTTGACTCTGGTGCTTTAGCCAACAAAAATTATCACTCACTACGGTAGTTTCTTGAAACTCTGAAACCACCTCTTTACTTCTAGATGCATTACTCGCTTCCCTCCTTTTCTCTGTTAAACCATTGCTTTTTCAAAGGGCTCCCTTTGAAGATCCCCGATGTTCAAAATCTGACTGTCAGCACTCTCAGAACATCTTTTCCTTCCCGTTGTTGAGGCAAAGCAGAACGTGAGGAACCGGATACCTATGCAGGAGCATCATATTAGAAAACATAGTCACTTCCAGAAATAACCTCAAGTAAACCCAAAGGTAACCCAAATTTTCGAATTTGGTGAATCCTAATATAGAAAGCAAAGTCATCATAATTACCATGAAATAAACTGTACCCTCAAGTTAATTCTACTACAATTTACAATACGGGGCATCAAGGCATCTCATATTGTGATCAAGAACTTGTTCTGAATGTTTAAAACGAATCCAAACTTTCTCATTTGTCCTTGGTGTTTGAATCAGATAGTTCTTTCCATAATTACCATAATTAGTCCCACACTTAATAAAGAGCCAGATAATGAAAAACCAACTAAAAAAAGAACCCAATTAAGCAAAAGATAGTATAAACCAAAATAGAAACCTCTCATTCCAATTTACCAGAATTTTCAAAGGAAGAGGATTGCGAAGCAAGAGATGATTTTTTTAACATCATTGATCATTACTTTTCTCAGAACCACAATTTAAGTTTAATGAAGAAACAACTCACTAAACTTATTCCGAAACCAAAGAAATCACTATTAGAATAGAAAAAAATTAGATGAAACTAGCTCGTAATGATCCTGTTCTTTTTATTTTTTTGTAATTTTAAGATTTAATCTTCAATCGGAAATTCGACACCAATAGAAGGGCGGTTAGTGGAAGAGAAGAATGGATAAGAAGGTTAGAGATTTTCAATTTGGAATTTTGAATATAAGAAGATTGTGTTGAAATCTTCAATAACACATAGAAGAGAAAAGAAAAATAGCATAGAATGGAGAAGGAAAAAGAAAGCAAGATGTTTGCAAGTAACCAATCAACGATGCTCTTTTCAGTTAAATACCAGGGATATTTGTTGCTGACGTGGAAAATCTTTTATATTAATTTTGCATTAAAAAATGGAAAGTAAATTGAAGAAAAAGATTAGCAGTGTGGATAAAACAAAGGAATTGTGGGCTGATTATCTTAGAAATTTTGGTTTTAAATTCTAAACTCTATAGTATTTTATTGTACACTTAATATAAATTCGACAAGAATTAATCTCATCCAAATTTTTTTGTATACTTAATATGTATTTGACAATAATTAATTTTAGCTTTTGGATTGTTAGGTAAAAATTACTCTTAATTTTTAAAATAGTAGGTGTAAGATTTAATTTAGGTGAGAATTAATTTTGATGATTGAAAAGTTAGACGACAAGATTTAATACTCGTAGTTGAAAAGTTGGGTACGATTAATTCTAAGCCATTAAATGAAATTGGTAGGTGGGTGAAAAGGTTATAAATAGATGTGTTGCTGTAAGTATGTTAGCTAGTGAAAGAAAATAAGAAAAACAAAGACAAAAACCTTTTTTTTTTTTCTTTTGTAATCAATTTTTCTTGTAACTGTCACGTTAGAGTGCGGTTAATGAAAACGAGAATAAAAAAAACAAAGAAGATTGGAGATTTTAAAAAACGAAAATGAAGAGAGAAACAAAAAATTAAAGCTGTGAAAAATCTCGAGTTAAGGTGTTTATGAGAGGTAAAAGGAGAATGAGAATCTATGACAGGATTTGGTTTTTTTTAGGATGATTTCTTTGATTTTCTTTAATAGCAGAATTCTGTCAATTTTAAGTGAAAATGGGCTTGAAATTGCTTTATATTATTTGAAAAAAAAAAATTTTTAAACAAGAAAATAATAAAATTTATTTTTTATTAATTTATTCAAATAATAAAAACTTCTATTTTTGTTCGAAAACTATAACATCTTTTAAAAAATATTTTTATAAAATAAATTTTCACAAAACAAATACAAACTAAATTTTATAAGTGAAATATTTAAATTTTATTAATTTAATTAATTCTGTTAATACCTTAAATCAACTTTAATATCACATCTCATTTGCTTAAGGCAATATTTGAATAAATATTAATAAAGAAAAAAATAAAAATAAAAATAAAATTTTTTAAAAGAAAGAAAAAAATATATTTATATCTTGTTTGGATAATTAAAATTAATATAAAAAAAAGAATTATAATAATCACTATTTAGATAAATAATGAAAATAAAAGGAAATGATTCATTATAATAATTTTTTTAATTATAATTTTTATTACCTTTAATTTTAGAGTACTCTTAGATCATTATATGTTTGCTATTTTATTTAACTTTAAAATTGTTGTTATATCAATGATTTTTAATCGAAACAAAAATATGTTTTACAAACATGCATTAATAGATTGTGATGTAGTTTGATTTTTTAACTAAGTTTTTAATATTAATAAAAAGTAGATTTAATAATTTTTTTAAAAAAATAAATTTTTTCAACTTTTCTTTAGTTAGTTTTTCTCTCAAATTAGAGTATTAAAAAAATAAAAATTACAAAAAAAAATAAAAGTTATTGAATTTTTACATCTTTTTTTTAATTAAAAATTTATCTAAATAAATGAAATATTTTTTTTATTTATTTTTTTTCCTCTCCTCAATCCAAACATACAGTAAAAATTGAGTTTCAAAATTCGAAATGATCATTTATGTTTAGGGATAGATTTAATATTTTAACCAAAAGTAACAGTAGCTAATTAGTGATTGATACAAATATTAGAGAAAAAATTATAATTAATGCGTTATTAAAAAAGTGTATTCAATGTGAAAAGAAAATTTTAATGAGAGATCTAAATCTAAAAAAGCTGCTCCCTCGTTTTTCTAGTTTTCTTCCACTACAACATTGCAGAAATTGCTCCTCCATCCCCACCACACATCAGTGATTAATTGTTTTAAGCTCGTTTCTGATTGCAAAAATTAGACGTGCATCCATCACAGGTGACAAGTAATGTGTTCCATCGATGGTTGCCATGTAAGAATGATGATGGCAGAAAACGAACAGACGCAGTAATCAGATTTGGGTCGACAAGATCACACGTCACCGATGTGTTTGGGAGCGACAAAAGTAAATAGGAGGGACGGACTTTATATTTTGTGTATTGTGCTTCTACTTGTATCAAGCCTTTTATTTTTTGGGCTCCGTAACCGCCCTACATGTCTTAGCCACAAATGGCTTAGTGGTCTCCACTCCATATTCCGTTGCTTAGGATCTGTTTGACTTTTTAATTTTTTCGTCAACTTCTCAATTAGCAATTTACTTTTTTCTAGACTTTAGTTAAATCTAAATAATTATTACTACTTTTGTTTGTTGTTTCACCCTTATAACTAGTTTATCCTTTTTTTTTAATTATTTTCCATAATTACTAAAAAAATATAAAAATTTAATTTAATTAATTTATATATTTTAAAAAAAAGATATTTAGTAAATTTTAATTTTAATTTTAATGCTTATAATTTCTTTGATTATCTTATTTTTGCAACTCTTTTTTATTATTTTAGCCTTAAAATTAAAAAGCCGTTTTCATGAAAATGAAACCGAACATGCCCCAATTTTTTCTCACTTGGTTTGAAGAAGAAAAAGACGGTACCAAACATGAAACAAAACAAACACTGCCCTCGATCTCTCTGATGTATAAAACAGCCTGAAGCCAAAGATCCAATATTGTAGCTAGAAAGAAGCAAAGGGGAGACTTACCCAAAGGCCAAAGCTGAACCTCTAATAACTTTAACTCGTGTTTGACTCACGGGACTCGCAACAAAAACAAAGGGCTAGCTGTGATTCACAAGAAAACCACCGGCTTTTGATCCAAAAAGGAAGAAAAAGGAGGAAGGCAAAGAATTAATGGGAACAAGTACAGGAACAACAGGAACCTTCCTAAAGAAGAAAAGTGAGCAGGTACTAGACGGTTCGGATATAATGGAGTTGGTTGAGAACGAGGAGGTGTTTAGCAATTTCGTGGATCATAAGTTCAAGGAGCTTGATAAGGACAGTGATGGTCAGCTCTCTGTGAAGGAGTTACAACCTGCTGTTGCTGATATTGGTGCTGCTCTTGGCTTGCCTGCTCAGGGTTCTTCTCCTGATTCTGATCATATTTACTCTGAGGTTTGTCCCCAGCCCTCACCTCATTTTCTCTCTTTTTTACCCATTTTTGCCTGGTATGTAGTTTGGTTTTCTTTGAGCCTTCATGGCCTGGAAAAGTTCATCCATGTTCGCATTCTTTTCCCATAGTTTATACCTGTAACAAGAGAAATCTGCTAAAGAAAATATGATCAAAATAATATGCCCAAAGATATAAGCTGCCAGACGGTGAAAAAGATAAGGGGTTGCAGATTTGATATTGACCCTTCATTAGTCTCAGAAGCATTCTAATTCTACCATGCCAACATCACCTTCTATAAATTACAGTTTGAATATCATTTTCTAGTCTTTCAATTTGCAATAATCCTTCGCTTTTTGTCGTCGCTTTGTCCTTGTAAATTACTTAACAAACAAAAAGGAGAACATACAGCCACAAACTCACAGATGTTAACGTGTTTTATGTTACATAATTTTGCTTATGGTTATCCAAGTTTCAATAGAAAGCGATTGTACTCTGACTATTTGCCTTCTTGGGGCTCTATTCAGGAAACTACAAATTGTCAAAATTTCGATTTCTAGCTAGCTCGAGAAAACTCGACCTATTGTTCAATTTGGTCGGTGTTATGGGCGACTTTCTGCGTTTCCCACTTGGACTTGTTTTTGTTTTTTCTTTTTCCTTTTCTTTTTGTCTTCATACGAGGAGGAATCTAGTGACGAATATTTTGGAGACTATGGCTGTCTTGTTGGAACTTTGCTGTGCATTTAATTCACAAATGACTAATGTTACGAAAGTCAAGGTGCTCCATAATTTTCTGAGGTTACAATTAAATTAATGAAGCCTTCTTTCTATGTTGTGAACATCATGATTATTGGGGACAAACACAACTAATTTCTTTAATATAGGACTTTGCTTTTGTACCTAACTTGTTAACCATTTGCTCAAATTTGCCATCAAATACTACTGTATATTATTTTTGATGAGATCAATTATAGCAATATACTATAAGCATGTAATTTAATTCTAGTTACTTGGGTCCTTCCCTATGTTAGGGAATGATAAACTTGGGGACAAAGCAATGGAGCACTATTCCCCTGCCCAAGAAAAAGGAAAAGCAGGTAGGTCTCTGGACCACGTCCAAGGTCTGCACTCTGCATAATTTCCCATCTTTGTTCACTTGTCTCGACTCTTAAGATATAAAAGAAGTGCATAAGCTGCTGAATGTATATGTGGTTTTTTTTTGGTTAGTAGCCTTTCGGCTTTGAGATTGGAAATTAGGAACTGAATTATCATAGGTAGGTCCATCCGAGTGGTGATGGGATATAGAAGCTGACATGTAGACATGTTTTTTCAGGTTTTGAATGAATTCACCCATGGAAAACAAGAAAGAGTGAGCAAGACAGAGTTTAAAGAGGTTCTTTCAGATTTTCTGCTAGGTATGGCCGCAGGTTTGAAGCGAGATCCTATTGTGATCCTCCGTATTGACGGAGAAGACCTCCTGGAGTTCAGCAACGGTCCAAGTTATGAAGCAGAGATGGTGTCCATATTTTCACAGATAGGGTCAGATGATGCATCGCTGCGTGATTGCATTATTAAGGCTTTGGAGAAACTTACAGTTGACCAAGGAATGCCCCCTTCTTCAGATTCTTGGGTAATTGACTTTCCACATTTATAGTTCAGTTAGTAATATTAAAAAAATGTAGTGAAAACTTAAGCCTTTGTTTTCATCTTTCTTTTCCCACTTCTTTCTGGCTTCTGTTGCTTGTGTAGGTTATGAGCAACGTAGTGGAACAAGCTTTGGTATCATGGGATGGCAATGATCAAGAGAAACCTATATCTCAAGAAACATTCTTGGAAGAATTTAAGAAAGTAGCAGAGCGTGTGGCTCAAAATCTCAAGGAGCAGCCTGTAATTGTTGCCCATAGTGAAAACACCTTTGATGGAAGTGGCATTAAAAGACTACTATCCAACAAGTTTGAACTAGACAAGGTGTATGCTCTTTTTGTTTCATTGTCTTTAGTCTCCGTGAACGTTGGGTCTCCTATGGAAGGCATTTCCCTTGTTCTACCATTACTAATCAATTCTTTCATTTTGCAATGAAGTCATTGAATACAGCTATAGAAAATGTGCCAAAAGATCGCAATGGGAAAATATCAAAGGAATATTTACGAGTGGTGCTAGATTTGGTGGCTTCATCAGCTGATTTACCTCCAATCGGTGCTGTTGATCAGGTATTGCAATGACACAACAGGCATGCATCTTCAAGTTGATCAATAGATATTAGGCAAGCTTTGCAAACTGAAATTCTTGGCATTGATTTCCCAGGGATTGCTGGGGACTCCTATAGTTTTGTTCAAAGAGAAATATCAGAATAGATTGCCTTTCTTTTCTTTTGTTTTTAATAGATAAGAATACCCTATTTCATTCCACTAACTAAAATTCTTCAAATACTCCAGATCGATAAGGTTGTCGCTGATGTTTTCAACATGATAAACGCGGATGATGGGAAGGTGGTTAAAGAAGATGAGTTCAAGAAACTATTGACAGATATCCTGGGGAGCATCATGCTGCAGTTAGAGGGCAATTCTATCTCAGTTTCTTCAAATTCTGTTGTTCATGAGCCGCTTGCATCATCCTCGTTGCATTTGCAGCCATCATCCTAGTTGCCAATCGCCAGTATCTCTTATATGTAAGGGGTAACAAAATAAAAAGGGACAATAAATTTTGGTTGAATTAAGTAAATTACCACTAGCTTAAGTTGTTGATGTGCAGTTCACTGGGTTGTGCCAATGAAATATATTACTACGATAACATATACATGCAGATACAGAATTAGATTGAAGCAAGACTTCTATCAGCTAAAAAAGGCCCTTGACAGACATCTGCAGAGACATTATTTGCAATATTGACATTCATTACAAACACCGTCTAGCCACGTATAAGTATTGACATTCCTCACAAACCCTGCTTGGACGTGTACTTAAACTATTAGTGTTTGTTCTGGCCTTATGTAAATTATAATAAACTATTAGTATGTCATAAGCTCCGTTAATGGCGCGTCTACTGTCTAGCAATATGTGAAAATCCACCCACTTACCAGCTATTAGATCGAGAATGAACTTAACCTGATAACCTCCATCAGTGACTCGGTGTCACAATTTCCAAAACCTTCCCATTAGGTTGACTTCTAGGTCCCCAACAACAAAGTGCAGGTGCCGCCAAATTCACGAGGTCACGCTCTCCTTCTTCCCAAACCAAGCCTTCTTTCGGTAAGCCCTTGGTGAAACCGTAATAAACGATGCAAGCAAGACAAGGTCCAATCCAAAACACCCAATGCCCATGCCATAATGAACCGCCTCGCAATAAGGCCGGGCCTAAGCACCTTGCAGGATTAAGCCCCACTCCCGCGTAACCGGCGTGCCCAGTCACAGTAATGGATACAAAAACTGCCACTGCCATTGCCCCTGCCACCACGACACAAACCATTGCTAAGCCTAGCTCTTTGCTTCTTCTCGTGTCAAATGCTATCGTTACACCAACAAAAAGCACCACAGAAGTACAGCAAAATTCCAATATCAATGCCGTTCCAGGGCTAACCCCGGACGTTGACCCATTTCCATCAATGGTACAGCCTCCCAGGGAATACGTTTTTGCTGCATCATGGTTCATCACACGGTTAAGTATGAGAAATCCCGTTATTGAGCCTACACACTGCGCCAGGATATAGATGGAAGCTCGTGCTAGAGATATGATGCCCTTGAGGGCAGCAATGAATGTAAAAACTGGACTCATGTGTCCACCCGAAAGAGGAACTGTCACCATGAGAAATAGAAAGGCAATAATAAAGACTGCAAATGGGACAAGAAGCTTGGGATCAGTCTCGTGCGAGTCCAAGCAGGAGACAATGGATGCTGTTAATATGAACATTAGTAAAGCTGTCGTCACCAACTCTGTAAATGCAGCCTTCCACATCTAAAAGAATGAATCAGGAAAACGTTAGAGCCCTTTTCTTCTCATAATGAATCAAGCAGAATAAATCATTTGTCGATGAAGATTATTTACCTCTGGTGAGGAAAACTCATGGACACCAATGCAATCAAAAAATGTTGCTTTTAGAGATATTCGTTCTTTCAGAATTGTTGCCTCGTGGTTTTCAACTGAACTTCTTGTTAAAAGACTATGATCAGATTCACGAGAGATAAATGAATCCATGTCTTGATCTTTAGAGAATTTACAGGAAAGAATGCTTTCCACTTGAAGGAAGGAACCATTTGATCCATTATATAGAGAAAGAATATTTAGGACGATTGTCACACTGTTACTGTCACTGCTTCTCAACGGCTACGTGGTTCTAATTTCAAAATGAATCATCAGAAAGCCTTTCGAGACTTGCCAGTTGCAAGAAGACAAAGGCCGATCTGGTGTGAGGGAAAGACCAAAAGCAAAAAACCAAAGAAACTGAAAATGGGAGTGCATATTCTGTAATATGCTTTATGCAACTGTCCTTTTGGGAGGAACTTAAAACAGAGGATTCAGCAATGTTGCTTCATCCGTTAAGAATATCCATTTTTGATAACAAAGGATGCTTAGTGGCTTACGCTAAGGATTCTTAAGCTTGGCAGCTTGCACTATAAACCTCTATACTTTGAAAATGTCAATTACTATAACAGTAAACACTAAACATTAATCAATTCCAGCTAATAATCCAATTCGCCGTAAACAATTGCCTAGAAATTCCATATTACCACTAAACATTAAACATTAATCAATTCCAGCTAATAATCCAAATCACCGTAAACAATTACCTGAATCATATGGTTACTTCTGCAATTTTAAGAAACATAAAGACTCTATCGTGCTTACGCCAACTTATTATTACATATAATATAAGACAAAACATGGCAGGAAAACAGAGGAAAAATCCCCTCAAATAACATGCGCATCATATTTTGTCAAAAATTATTGCAAAGGTTTAACTTGACAACGATGATAACTGTAACCATATAGTTAAAATTTTCGTTTAGTTAGTAGCTGTGAGTATGCTCACTTGGAATCATTTTAACATATACAGCAAAAGCTACACATCCAATAGCTGGGCCAATCCAAAATATCCAGTGTCCATTCCAAAGGTGACCCCCTCTAACAACTGCTGGACCCAAACATCTTGCTGGGTTTAGCCCAGCACCACCATAACCTTTCGTTGCTGTAACTGTAGTTGAAATAAACACCAGAAGACCTAACACAATTCCCAAGATAACGCAGATCACAACTCGGCCTACAGCCTTGGCCTGGCGACGATCAAAAGCCATCCAGACTGAGGCGAAAAGAAACACAAAGGAGCAGATAATCTCAAGCCAAAGGGCCTGGCTGGTCTCCAGGCCTATCACAGTTGGCCCATGTGGGCCTGGTGCAACAATAGTCACGGTGCATCCTGCTAGTGAATATGTTCGTTGGATGCCGCTGTTAACCACGGCTTTGAGAGCCAGTGAACCCAGTATGCCACCAACACATTGAGCCAAAATGAATATGGCAGCTCGGGAAAGTGAAATGAGACCGGTAAGTAAAGCAGCGAAGGTAACAATCAGGTTGATGTGGCCGCGGGAGATGGGATAGGTAGCAAGGAGGAGAACTGCAACAACAAAGGCAACTAAGACTGACATTACAATGTTTGGCGTTTTTGTTTCGGTCTGTAACGTGGAGATAACTATTGTGTCCAACGCAAAAACAAGCACTGCCATCCCAAGAACCTCTGCCAAAGAAGCTCTCCATACCTATAAATCCAACACCAGTTTGCTTGTTAAGCTATATTGTAAGGGAACTAAATAGAAGATCTAATAGCTACCAGTACATGACGTTGCAAAACAGTTTAAAAATAATATATTCAATGCCACCTCTTAACCTCTTAATATTACTATATAAAGCAACTGATTTAAACTTCAGATTCGAAGTGATTATAATTTGTTAACTACATATAAGTGATTACATATCATGTATACTAACCTCCAAAGAGAAAAGCTCTTCAAGGCCTAACACCCTAGTTAATAAAGGGGCTTTTGGCTCTTGTCCTTCCTTAAATTGCCCTGGCCTGCAAAACAATATGAGAAAGTAACAAAATTAAGAGACGTAAACCTGTCTTTTTAGCAATGATTTAGGCCTCAAAATGTACTAAATGAAACTTGGTATACTTAATTACGTTGGAGTAAAGGCAAAAGGCTGAACTTTATTGCCACCTTTGATGCTTTCTTCATCTTCAACAATTCCATTTCCTGCCATCTTTTTATTTAACTCTATACCCTCAAACTCTTTGTTGGATGAATCTATTTGTTGGCATAATTGAACTCTGCATTCTGATACATCTATATATAGCCTGACTCATCAGTTTGTACAGGCTGGAAGTTAAAATATGATGGTTGTTATTACAATAATGTTTATTTTAATTCCCAAGTTCCCTGATCCTTGGACTACAATATCCTCTGCAAAGATTTTTTAATATATATTTAAAATTTTTAACTTATCCATGTGAATTAATTTTCCTGATGTCATTCTAATTAGGACATTTAGATTACTCAACATTGTGCATATCATGTCGAATTTAAAAGGAGTTTCACGGTTATGGCAGGGAACCAAGTTGCCCTATACTCTCACTACGTTGCATCTTTTTCTTTATTTTATGTTTGCTGCTGGCTGTTGCAATCTTTATTTTGAACAGATTTTTAACGCCTGTGTTTGACTTGCAACGCAAACGAATGCCATTCAATCATGCCAGTTGAATTATTGCATGAACTGCAGTATCATTACAGATCATACGTCGATCGATCAAATCCCTGCAGTTACGGGATCATGTTCCTCCAAAACAGATTTTGTTGTTTGATTTTGAAGTGACCAATTAAAACTGTATATATATATATATATGTTTCATTTGAGTTATATTATTATATATGTAGTAATATACTAAAAAAATAACAAACTTATAAAATTTTAAAGTTTTTTAATTCAAAATAGAATAATAAATAAATAATTTATTTAAAATTGTGAGCAATGTCCAATTTTTAAAAATAAAAATCTTCAACAATTTAATTTGAACTAAATCTTTCTTTTTACGTTGACAACCAAGTTACTCATAAAAATACTAATCTTTTATTTTATTTTATAATTTTATTTTGATAATTTTCATCACTAAAACTATTCGCCTAGCTCACTAGTTATTGTCAAAACTGAAAAGAATTAAAATAAAATCGATCAATCTATTAATAAAATAATATATATTTTTAATTTTTATTAAAATAAGGTACAATTATAATAAAGAAGATAAAATTTGATATTTCATATCATTTTGCATGTCACACTCAAAATATTTCAATTGAAATTTCAAATTTAATTTATTTTACTTTGTAGAAACTAAAATTAAAAAAATTAAATTAAAATTTTTTAATTCATAGGAATTATGACTTAATATTTATTACAAATCAATTAAGTATTTATTAATAATAATTAGTATGTAAATAAAAAGGTAGATATCAATTTAATTTTATCTTTTTAATTTAAAAAGTCTAAATTAAAAAAATTTCAATTTAAAATTTTTTAATGCAAATATACATATATAAATAGAGGAGAATTTTAAAAAATATCGGCGTCTTAGCCCCCCCTAGCCATGCTTACCGTCAGCCCCTGCTCTAAAACTCCACCAGGTTCGGTTTATAGTTTGCGAAAGATTAATAAAATATACATGTTAAGTTGTTCACATGTGAAAAAGATGTTCATTAATAGTTAGACAATCCTAATTTGATACAAAGCATCCTCGAAATCATAATAAAATGATTAAATATCCATTCTTATATCATCATTTATATTATTTTCCTAACATGAAGATCTCTAGAAATATAGTTCATGGAACCGTGCTTTCAGGCATTCAGTTGTGCAAAAGCTGACTTGGAATGAGCTTTGTATAGAGGGCAAATGCTACACAAGCAATAGCAGGCCCGGCCCAAAAAACCCAGTGCCCACTCCAAAGGTGGCCACCTCTAATTAGGGCTGGACCCAAACATCTTGCTGGGTTCATCCCAACACCTGCATAGCCCTTAGTGGAAGTTACAGTTGTTGATATAAACACGATGAGGCCCACCACTGCGCCTATGATAGAGCAAACCATAACTCGGCCCAGGTGCTTGGCTTGGCGTTTGTCAAAAGCAATCCATATTGAAGCAAAAAGAAACACAAAGGTGCAAATTATCTCGAGCCACAGGGCCTGGCTCGTCTTGAGGCCGATCACAAGTGGTCCATTTGCACTTGGTACAACAATTGTGAGGGTGCAACCTCCAAGTGAAAATGTTTGCTCAATTTTGGTGCTTACCACAGCTTGTAATGCTAGCGCCCCTAGTATGCCCCCAACACATTGAGCCAAAATGTATATGGCGGCGCGTGAGAGGGATACAATGCCGGTAAGTGCCGCGGCAAGGCTGATAACAGGATTGATGTGGCCACCGGAAATGGGAAACGTAGCTAGAAGGAGAACTGTGATAGTGACAGCAATAAGAAATGACATTATGAGGTGGGGTGTTTTTGTTTCTGTCTCATAGGAGGAGATGACTATAGTGTCCATTGCAAAAACTAACACTGCTGAACCAAGGAGCTCTGCCAAAGACGCTCTCCAAACCTGATAATTCAGTAGCATTGTAGGATTACAAATGCTCTTTAATAACTGCACAAATAAGTATAAAATAGAAACTCCACAAACCTCCAAAGAGAAAAGCTCATTGAGGGAAAAAATTTTTTCAAGGTAGTGGGACTTTGCTGCTTCTCATCCTCAAGTTTTCGTTGCTCAACCCTGCAAAATCATTTGAAGAAAAAACAATTAAGTTTTGAGAGTTTATAAGTTATAGCAATTTGATCTTCAAAAAAATAAGGTCAAGAAAGAATGAGAAAGGAAGTAAGAAGGATTTAACGAATTTGTGAGACTTGCCTTGGTGTGGAGGCAAAGGGACGGACTCTAGTTCCAGTGTAGGCATTCTCCTCATCTTCCATAACTCCAACATTTCCAGTTCCAGCCATCTTTGGTTTAACTCTCTTGCTGCACTATTTGCGCTGTATCTATCCTGTATATATAGTCAACGTAACTGCTGCATGAAATCTTAACCTTAATTATGTTACATAGTTTTATCTTGAACTACTTAGTCGGTGCTATTATCATGCTACTTAGTTAGTATGTGATGTCTCAGCTTGCTTTATGCCTTTATCGTCTGCCTTTTCAACCACAAAGATGTAGAGTGGAACTGTTTTTGTAAGGGTAATAATCCGTAGATAAGTTTTGAGGATATTTACATGGTAAACTGCTATATTATTGATCCTTCAGGCCAATGAGATCCGGTTCGAGCTATTACAGAAGTCAGCGAGCGCAAGTATCTTAACAATTCGGAATTCGGATGCAACTTGAAAGAATTAATAGCATCACGAATCACATTAGGCGCTCAATTTCTAAGAGTTGCTACCCGTTTTTAATTGGCTTGATAAGTTGGGAGAGTGCAATTAATGGCAACTTGCCACACATTGATGGTTTGGTTGCTGGTCAATATCCTTATCTGGCAACTAGCCAGTAGGCAGTGTCATTAAATTCCCAACAAGAAAAGAAAAGGAAAAGGTTAGTGACTTGTGCAAATTAATTGGGGTTTGTTGCACGGGAGACAAGTGCACTCAACTGTTAGTACTTGAAGGTTTTTAATTTTAATTTTAAGAGACAGTTTAATCCGTAAAAATCATAAATTTTGAAAAAAAAGTGATTATTGAAAAAGTGCGATACTCAAAGGATTTTTTTATTTTTAAAATATTTTGTATTCAAATTCACTCGTTCAGTTAAAAAAATTTACGTATATTAATTCTTAAATAATTACTGTAATCTTTTGACATATAGGATAATAATTTTTTATTAACTTTTATTAATAATAAATACCCAAATGATAAATAATACTTTTAATAGCAAAATAAATAAATAAATATTTTTATGATTGCTATTTTTATTTACAAAATATCATCAATAAAAAAATATTGAGAATTATTTAAGGAATTTTTGGTTGAAAGACGTTTTAAATAATCCCCTTTCTTATTTTAAAGGAGATTATTTAAGGTATTTTTTAACTAAAAACGTCTTAAATAATTCTTAATATTTTTAAAAACTAAAAAAAATTATTGAAGGTATTTTTTTATCCAAAAACACTTTAAATAATGCCTTCATATTTTTTTAAGGGCATTATTCAAAGCTTTTTTTATCTAAAAACACCTTAAATAATACCTTTTAAAAAAATGAAAGAGATTATTTAAAGTAATTTTGTTTAAAAATACCTTTAATAATCTCCTTTTAAAAAATGATTGTATTATTTAAGACATTTTTTGACCGAAAATACATTAAATAATGCATTTTAAAAAATATCAAGAGACTATTTAAGGTATTTTGGACCAAAAACACCTTAAATAATGTCCTTTAAAAAAATGAAGGTAATTATTTAAGGCGTTTTTGGTCTAAAAACGCCTTAAATAGTTCCCTTATTGTTTAAGACATTTCTAGACCAAAAACACCTTAAATAATCCTTATTAAAAAATAACAGGAGATTATTTAAAACATTTTAGGATTAAAAACGCCTTAAATAATGTCCTTTAAAAAATAAAGAGATTATTTAAAATGCTTTAAACAATGCATTTTAAAAAAATAAAAAAAATTATTTGAGACGTTTTTTATTAAAAAAATACCTTAAATAGTCCCTTTTTAAAAAATAAAAAGGATTATTTAAGGTATTTTTGTCTAAAAACGTCCTAAAAAATCTTCGTAAAAAAATATTAAGAGATTATTTAAGGTATTTTTAGATCAAAAACACCTTAAATAATCCAAACGCCTTAAATAATCCCCGTTAAAAAATATTAAGGGATTATTTAAGGTATTTTTTGATAAAAAATACCTTAAATACTATCATTTAAAAAAATATATTATTTAAGGCGATTTCTATTCATAAACACCTTAAATAATCTATTTATAAAAATATAAAATGATTATTTAAGGTATTTTTCATTCACAAACACCTTAAATAATCTTTTTATTAAAATATAAATGGATCATTTAAGGCGTTTCTTTAAGCAAACGCTTTAAATGATCATTTTTAAAGGTTAATTCTCCGTGTTTGAACCTTGAAAAACCAAATGGCTAATATAGTAAATAATAAAAGGCTACATTGCACGTAAACCCCTAAACCGTTAACCCATTTAGTTTGCCTTTTGGTTTCATCATCTCTCTCGTCGTTGTCGACCATCAACCACTCAATGTCATCGTACCTTTTTTTTATTGGTGTGTGTGTTTTTTATTCTTTTTTTGTACTATTTTTCTGGCTTGATATAAGTATTTTTTTTCTTTCTTTACTATATATATTTTTTTATGTTTTTATGCATATTCCAATCGTCACCTACGTCGCCCAACCACTTTTTATTGCATGCATAGTGTTTCTTTGTTGTTGATTTAAGTATTATGGTTTGCTTAATGGTTTTGCGAAAATTAGTTGTTATATTTGTACTCATTATTTGGTTTGTAGGAAACTCTTATTTAAGGTGAGAATCATTATATGACTTGTACTCGTAAAATATTATTGGACATAGGATGTTTTATGTATATTGTTTAGTAACTGTAGTAGATATTGATTATTTTTTACTATTTGATATTTAGAGAGATAGTTTGATGTATCTCGTATAATTATGATCAAAATCACAAGTATTATAGAATTTGAATAACATATATCTCCTATTGCTGAACATGAAGATGACACACTCATAGTAAAAAAAAAAAAAAAGCAAGGGAATATGGTAAATAAATTAAAGCGAGTAACACAAAAATTCACATCAACTTCAATCAAAATAGGCAACCTATGTGAGATGGAGCTACCAAGTTAGCTAGTCACATTGGAACGGTTGCCCGTAGTAGTATTTCTATTACTTACCATAATTGGCGACAAGTTTCTGATGATCAAAATGATCATATATGGGAGTCGGTTATGATATGTTTATTTAATAATATCTAAAAATTTGTTTTCAGTTGAAATTTTAATTGAAATAATATGTACATACTAATTGTTTTAAATTTGTTAGGAACGGTTTGATGTCCCTAATAAATATAAAAAGCTTGTGTTGCAATCAGTTAGAAAAACATTCAGAGATTTTAAGAGCAGATTGACAATCTAATATATTTTATCACTCGCTAATAATAGTGATTTGTCAGCTGATCCTTCATTGTTATATGCAGATGTTATTAGTTATTAAGAGTGAATGTATTTTATTTGAGATCGTCTATCAGAAGAATTTTCGGTATGTATACCCATTTTGTCAAATGTTTATAATATTTTGTGTAATATATTTGATATCTTAATATGTGATTTACCTTCTTTTTAAAAAAAAAAAAATCAAAGAACAACAATTGACCATTCTATCCAAACAAGTATATCATCATCGAACATCGAGAAAAGGTTATGCAAACATCAAGCATGATCTTGTAAGAATTCACACGTGTGTTTTATACTTATATATGAATATTTATAAACATTCGATTAATAGATTTTGATTCTTATGTTGCCTTAATTATCAAGAATCATCTAGCTCTAGAACCAAAGTTTCTAAATAGGTTGTATGGAAACAAGGACATATACGGAAGGATGGATCGTTCGTAGATGATGCAACTGAAAAAATGACTAAAAAGATTATATGTATAACTAATTAATTTATCTCATATGTTTGGCTTTGTGCTTATATGGATGATTATATATTGTATAACCTTGTTGTTACACGTTATCTTATTGTGTTTCAAGATGAATTTACTACTAAATTTGAATGTGGTGAACTACTAACGATTATGAAAAAGATCTATTATCTTTAGCATTAAGATCAAAAGAAATTCATGATCGAGTTCGTGGATTTAGTAGATTTGTGTTGCCATCAAAGTTCTTCAATAATCAACCCAAACTCCCTTCAATAAAAGGTACAAAATATGAAACAATCATTTAGTAACAACAGTAAAGATTTGATAAGTAAAGGCAATGCCTGAATGATTAATAGCAACAACTCGCAGCATTAGAAATGATGTTAGCAACAATGTAGCCTAACATACCTAGAGAGCAGTCAGTTACTGACATCTAGCAGGGATAATTATTCACGAATCAAGTCTTACAGCAAATCCAAACTCTGGTAATAATCATTATTTTCATTTTGTTTATTCACTTAATATTTATTTATATTTATATTTATTGATTTGATTTTAATACTTATATTTTATTATATATTATAACAGGATGTTGAGACTCAAAGGATGACCCATGCTGAAGCTGCCATTGATGCGTTATCTAATTATGCACTTAATCATTTATCTGTAAGAAACATCATTACCATTAAGTTTGAGGATGGGTTATTTGATCATCCAACCATTTCTAACATAAGGGAACCTAAGATCGAAGCACTTAATACCCTGGATGAAATATCAATTTCTGGTATTGTTGCCTATATGAGGTTAGTTTATCAATTAATTTAAATATTCAAAGTCAATATATATTATTCTATATTAGGGTTTATTACTTACTAGTACTGTTTATTGTTATCTTGTAACTTCTTACATAGAGAGATTAAGGTAAGACAAATGACTCATAGATTCAAATTCATTGACCCAAATGTGATTAGTCAGGAGAGTGGCACTGTCCTTATTCATGGTTGTCATGTGAGTAAATGTATGCAAAAATGGGCTAATTATTTTTTGGTGCCTTACAATGCTGCGTAAATTCTATTCATCCAACAATAATTCCAAATTTACATCTAATATGATGCCCGATATTTGTGTATCATGTGTTTTATTTTTCAAGCATCATTGGCAGTTTATTGTAATTGATGCTAATTTTTGGATGTCATATTTATTTAACTCTGCTTAACCAATAACAATGCCTAACCTTGATATTAGTAATTTAATAAAGAGGAATTAATCAAAGATAGTTAAATGTATATTGTGTTTCTTCATAATTACTTATATTTTTGCACTTACTATTGTTTTTCGATTCAATTTAAGGGAATGATTGCAGTTGATAAGAAAACAAAGATAAATTGGGTGTCATTAATGGTAAATGTAAAATAAATTCTTTTATGCTAAGTTTGTTTACATATATATTTCCTAAACCCAAATGTTATTTTTTAGGCACCTCATCAACTAGGAG